TTCTGACGTAAACGGTTTCTCTATATTTTTGTTGACAAAGCACATGTATTACTTGAGGTAGAGTTTGTAGTAAGACTTTTAATTTAAATTTTAATTTAATTATTGTGTAAAACGGCAATTTTATTTCAAGTTTTACACAATAATTAAATTAGAATTTCTTATGTTATTTTTGTAATAGTTTTTAATTATAATTAATTTTCAATAATTTTTAGAATTATTATTAAACTTTAATTTTTCACCTTTTTAGTAGAGTAATTTAAAAGTTAAAAAGGTAATTTAAAAGAAAAAAGGAGTAAGTAATTTAAAAGATAAAAGAAGTAATTAATTTTATAAAAAACCACTTTGAGAATTTTGTAAAAAAGTTTGAATGACAATTATGTTAGATGTATGCGCTATTTACTAATGAAAAAAACTAAAAGTGCTATTTACTAATAAAAAAAATTAAAAACTGCAAAAAATCTCTATTAAGCTAATTATTTTATCAAACAGAAAACAAAATTTTTTATAGTTAACGTTTATAGTTTTTTTTTAATGCTAAGTTATTTAAAAAAAAAAAAACATAAAAGAAATATAAATAATAAAAACTTTTAATTGCATTAAAAAAATTTAAGTTAACTTAAGTTTCTATACAGTAATAAATAATTTATACCTAATTTTTTTTTTTTTTTATTGCAATAATCGATTTTTTCGCTTGAAAAACACTAATACTTTAAGCTTGAAGCAAAGATCATTATAATGTAATTTAATTCTGATAAAAAAAATAAATTATTTAATTCAAAACTAATTTAACAAAAATATATAACTTTATTCTTATAAAAAAAATATGTAATTTAATTTCGATTTAAATATATAAAATTAAAGTTAATGCTTGGGTTTAACTTAACTGTTAAATTTATTTAAAGATGATACTAAATATTGCTAAATATTTAAATTTTATTTTTTCTTGAAAAATAAATTAGCTTGCATTTGTTATTTCGGTTTTCTTTCCTTAAAATTTTTTTTTACTCAAAATTAAATGTTAAATAAATGTGTTTTGAGGCTAAACGTAAGTTGAACTATTTTTATAACGCAAGTAGAGCGCAGCAATTATTTTTTGATACATGATACATACAATATAATTTTAACAAACGGTGTTTCAAAACAAAATCACTTATAAAATAATAAACTTTTAATAAATAAAGGTAGATAAATTAACGTAATTTTTTTATTTGTTACTCGCTAATTTTTTTAAAAGAAAAACAATTTTTTACATGAAATTTTTTATGTAAATCAAATTTAATTATTTACTATAAAAAAAAATGAAAGAAATAAACATTTTGTAATAGTACTAATAAAAAATGAGTTAAACAATATTTAACTCACTTTGCGGTAATCTTAATATTATTGCAGTAATTTGAAAAAGTTGATGTCTTTAAAAAATAAAAAGATAAAGAGAATTTTCATGATGTCAAATTCACATTAAGCCAATGCGCTAAGCATTTGTTATTTAAAACAAGGCCTGCTACTATAACTGGATATTAATAATTTTAACACTAAATATCCATTGTTGACATTACAAAAAACATGAATAATACTCTTTATACTAAAATGAGGCAGCTACAGGGTATTATCCAATGCTAGTTATGTGGTTTTGCACTATCCCTAACAATATCTGATTAGTCATCATAGCCTACAGATTCAGCATAGATCCTAACTTACAAGATGCAGCAAGAATATACAACCATAGGTTCAAAACATTTAACAACTTTATAAGTACAGTTACTGATACTGAAATGAAGCTTAATCTACTAACTAATCATACTGAAACTATTGTGTATGAATATATTTCAGAGTGCGATGAGTTTGAGCGAGCAACAAGTATACTTGAATCTACTTATATAAAACAAAGAATAAAATATTTGCCTGACATTTTATTTACAGAAAAGCAAAAATTTGGTGAAAAATTGACAAATTCCTAAATGAACTTATCTAAACAGTATAAGTTTAGTGCTGTTAGCATAAAGCAGTACAAATCTGAAATGATTCGTGATGCTTTTATTAATGCATTGCTTTCTAACATTATACGCCAATGATTATTAGAAAACAAAATATTAGACCTTACATCAGCCTTTGATCAAGCAAGAACTTTTCACTAACACTGCATCTCTTTAGAAAATAAATTAATCCCTTCAAAAAATTATCTTTTTTTTTTTAATATTTTCACTTCCAACAAGGCTGCAAGCAACCATTATTAGAGTTGGAAGTTACTGGAAGAGAAAAGGTGAAGTTTATAAAGCAAGATAACGATTAACAGATGACTTGAAAGATTTCAAACTCAGGAATCATGAAAACAAGATATAGGGAGCGAATTGATGCTCAAAGAAAAAAACTACATGAATAAGAATTTTTGGAGCCTTTAGGAACAATGACAGTAAAGGAATGAGACTTATTTGAATAACAAGTAACAAGAGAACGAATTTCAGTAGATGGCCAAAAGACCCTAGCTCTTTAGAGCAGCGCCCATGAGAGAGGGAAGCAAAATTGCGACGATGGGACAATGGTTGGATGTTGGCTGCAAGAGCAGGTCCAACTAAGTTTACAATGCGCTTTTGCACCTTGTCTAAAAGAGTAAGGGCATCATTGGTAAGTCTCAGATCCATCTTTGTATGGAATACAAAGATGGATCTGAGATTTAAACAAAGGATTGAATCCGGAAAGTGGCAAGCACAACAAATAGATCCAACTTTAGCAGATGATAATTTTGCAATGGATTTAATATATGGTTTCCAAGAAAGATTGGAAGCAAGAGTTAATCCTAGAAGACAAAGAGTAGATAAATCATTGAGTATATAACTGTTTGTAAATATAGGAAGATCTAGATCATTACGATATCAATTAGCTGAAAAAAACTTTAGTTTTATCTGAGTTAAATCTGAGTTAATCTACAAGTGATGCCACTATTCATACCAGTAATTCTGTAGCTGCTGCAGTAAAATCAAAACAATTGTGTTGGTTCTATGGAAACATATGACATCAACATACCAAATGTCCTGCTTGTAAAACTGCCTGTCAAATATGTAAAAAGATGGGTCATTTTGAAATACTTTGTCGATTTTCTAATTTCTCAGCAGCCATCCCTAAAAGTGAAGATAATCCACTATCTCAGCCTCAACCAGTTCTCTCTTCAAAGTATGCCACAAAATTACTATTAGTGACAAATATAGAGCAGAAAAATTGATTGATAATGGAAGTACAAATAAAAGTTTTATTGATAATAAACTAATAAAATTACTCAATTTAGAAGTTTTTTATAAAAAGAATGTGATTGGAATGGCATTAGTTACTTTGTCAGCAAAATCAGAGGGATATTGTTATGTTTCAATAACTCTTCAAAACAAAATCTATAATGAAGTAAAACAGATAACTTATGTATAGACAAGAGCTGCAAAGGATATAGGTGGTTATTTTCCACCATACTGACCTATTGCCACTATATCTTGATATTATTCTCGAATAGATAGAAAATTTAATCTGAAACCCATCCTTTGGTTGAATCAGGAATAATAGAGCAAAGTAAACTGTGGCGATATATTAGAATGCCTTTTGGAATTTCCAATAAATCAGATGTTTGCAACACAAAATAGACAACTTTGTTTAGGCCTATTAACTAACTGACTACTTTCCATTTATTCATTACATTACTTTATGTGGTTACGATACATATAGTAATGTGTAACATTACTTTATGTATCGTATGGTCCTTTAAAAACTGATCCTTAGCGGCTTGGTCCGCTTATTAAGTTACCTCCACTTAATAATGCTTATTCTCTACAACGGATCAGAAAATTTTCTGATAAAATTCAATCTTTGAAAATGAGCTTGTTCGATCTTCTATGCAAACAATTGATAAGAATATCCCTTTTACTATAGAGACTGATGCTTCAGACTTTGCCATATTAGCCACACTTAACCAAGATGGAAGGCCTATTACCTTCCATTCATTTACTCTTTAAAAAAGTGAACAATACTATTTATCAGTGGAGAAAGAAGCTCAAGCAATATTTGAAGCCATAAATCATTGGCGAATTTTTTTTTTCTGGGTCGACATTTTATTTTTATCACGGACCAATGCTTTGTAGTATTAAGAAAATAGCCTTGTTTCCATATTCATATGATATTCATTATTGTCTAGGGAAATGTAACAGTAGTCCAGATACATTTACTTGTGTTCTGTGTGCAGCAAAAAGTTCAGAGTCACTATATGATTTGCATGCTGCACTTTGCCACCCTGGCATTACTAGATTATTGTTTTATTCTGTCAAGAAACCTACCTTATTTAGTGGAAAATGTAAGGTAATTATACAGAGATTGTAGAATATGTAATAAAATAAAATCAAAATACTATCATCTAAATGCTTTGCATATAATTAAAACAACTCAGCATTTTGAACATATATCCATGGATTTTAAAGGGCCATTGCCTTCTACAACTCTTGAATACTCACATTTTTCTTTTGCCTATCCAGTAAAAAATATGACGACTCAGACAATAAGTAACTGTTTAACTGATCTATTTTCCATGTTTAGTAACCCTAGCTATGTTCATTCAGATTGTGGATCATCTTTAATTTCTTCTGAATTAAAAGAGTGGTTCTTCACAAAAGCTATTGCGACTCGCAGGACAACCCCCCTAATAAGCCAACTGGAAATGGTCAAGTGGTCAATTTTTTTAACAACAACATAAAGTAGCTTTAAAAATTAACAACTACATAAAGTAGCTGGGTTAAATTGGAGAAAATAAACATTGTGATTGCAAAAAAAATTCAACTCAACACCTCCGATTCCGAGGGCTGGGTAGACTGCGATTGTAAAAAAAAAATGTTAGCAATGTTTTTAGATATTCAAATACCTGAGAAAATCATACCAGATCCTCTTGTACAATATTGTATCAGTGACAAAATATTTTAGTAAACTTTCAAAACTACAAAATAATGGGATTGACTTTATTTTAAAAAGAATACCTTGAACAGTTTTTCCAAGATAATCCCCTCTTCTTTCTTTTTCAATTACTTTTTGATAAATTTTTCCAGTTGTAATATTATTGTCCCTATGTAACTGAATGTTTAAAAAACGCTCATAATTTCCAAGATCTAAATCAACTTCACTTCCATCATCCAAAACAAAAACCTCACCTTTAATGAAATAAATGGTAAAAAACAAAGTCAATAATTATTATAACAATAACAATAATAATAAGAAAGTTATAGGGAGAAAAAAATAGAATAAAAAAAAGATTTTGAAGTACATTATTTACCATGCTCATATGGCGAAAATGTTCCTGCATCAATATTTAAATAGGGATCTATTTTAATTGCAGTAACATTAAATCCGCTAGCTTTTAATATTGCTCCCACACTGCTTGAAATGACACCCTTTCCAACACCACTTATAACACCTCCAGTAACAATTAAATACTTCATTTTTATTTCAAACTTAAAAAGAGTAGACATCATAAGAAACATTTTTATTTGTAAATAGTTTTCAAACATGCAGTTTGAAAACGTAATTTTAAATAAAATAAACTTTGAAAGTTTTGAAATGAATTTAATTTATATAAAAAAGGTCAACTTTAAACTTAATATTAACTTAAAAAGAATCTTAGAACCTTATAAATAAACATTTTTAATTTATTCATTCTTAATTCTTGACTCAATAAAGTCAAAGTATATCAAAGACTCAGATATACCAGATATATATCAGGTAGACTGTATCAAATATACCAAACAAACTAAGATATAGACAGTACCAAAATATATATTAAATTTTTTTTTCATAACTGTGTTATTCACATTTGCTTCAGATTTGAAAACTGAAAAGGAACATAAACATAAAATATTACGTATTATTAATATGTATAAACATATATAAATATATATATATATATATATATATATATATATATATATATATATATATATATATATATATATATATATATATATATATATATATATATATATAATATATATATATATATATATATATATATATATATATATATATATATATATATATATATATATATATATATTTATACACACACACACACACAAACAGACACATTTATATAAAAAATTACAGCGTTGTAAACATGAGTTAATTTTAATATCTACATTTCTATAACACGTTTTTCAGAGCACGTGAGAATTTTGTAAATCGGTATTTTTTTTTTGTATCCCGCTGTGACGCTCAACAAAAAGATATGTTTAGTGCTTAAGATAATAATGCTATACATGAAAATTTCATATTAAAAGATTTTTTAACTACGGTTCGAGGCGATTTAATGCATTAAATCGCCTCGAATCGTAGTTAAAATTTTAACGTAGTTAAAATTTTAACCATTAATGGCTTTAAAAAATCTTTAAATCATCAATTACATTGCTTTTTGTAAAAAATCGAGATAACCTAGATTCTAAAAATTATTAAAGTCCGGAGCGAAGAGGTGTGTATATGTGTGTGGGGGTGGGGGGGCAAAAATTCAAGGCAGTCTTTGTCGACATAAAAAACGTTACTGACGCTATCACTAATGTCTCAAAATATCGTGACAACAAATATCGCAAATGCCTCAAAATATCGTCACAACAAATATCGTTGATGAAAGTTCACCCCCACCCCAAATAGAACAAACCCTAAACCAGCCTCAATAATCCCAACCGGTACAACCATCAAGTCTCAATGTTAAAAGAAAACGCCCAACTCAACCATTACCATCAATTAGACATTTTACTGTCATTTTTTCTGGGCAAATAATCCATGCTAACTAAATCAAACGAAAATTAACGAGCTGAAAGCCAGAATACCGAGCACAACCGCCTACATCATATTTTTCTTGATGAGACGTGGTTTAATGAGGCTTCAGATACTGTTATTTCAGGGTATAACATTTTTTCACGAAACAGAGCCGGAAAGATAGGCGGTGACGTAGCTATTTACGAATAAAACAATCTTCAATGCACGCTAAAAAGTATTGAACAACTTGACAAAAATACCATTGTACAACTGTGGATAAAGCTCAAGCTTGAAAAAGAATCACTCTTTTTAGGGTGTATCTACCGGCCACCAAATAAAGATAAACTAGCATTCCTAAATAAACTCGAATTATATTAGACGTTATGACTAAGAGACATTATTTAAAAATCTGAGCCCCAAAAAAAAATTTAATTGATAAATATAATGAAAAAATTTTAATTGATAAATATAATGAACTCTACATACCAAGTACCACAAAACCATACCAGCCAAATAAAAAACCATGGGTTACTAGTGAGGTTATGGAAGCTGTAATAAAAAAGAGTAAACTCTGGGGTAAATGTGTGTCAGCAGGACTAGGATCACACCAACTTATTAAAGCAGAATATAGCAAAGCAGCAAAAACCGTTACAAAAGTGGTGAAAAAAGCAAAACTTGACTACGAAGATGCACTAACTTTTTCGTTTAAACATAACCCAAAAGAACTCAATTCTTATGTCAAAATAAAAATCAAAGTTCACGATAAAATCCATTTACTTGAAGACAGCAATGGATCGGTGACCGAAAATATATTCAACATATGAAAGACACTCAATGATTATTTTTATACTGTGTTTGAAATAGAGCCGCAAGGCCGCTACCTAACATTTTAAACCGATCTACTGCCACTTGCAATAAAGGAGTTGATTTTATCACTTATGAAATAGTCAAAAACCGATTGCTGAAACTTGATCCTTCAAAAGCAACATATCCTGATGGAATCCATCCTAGAGTCTTGAAAAACTGCGCAAAAGCTTTTTCTGTCCCTTTAATCTGGAATCAATGAAGAAAAGCAGAAGTAACACCTATATTCAAAAAAGGAAGTAGATTAAAGACAAGCAACTACCGGCCAGTTTCTAAAACCTCGGTACCTTGTAAGGTATTAGAAGGTTTAATCCACATTTGTATTATGCAGCATTGTGTCAAAAACAAACGAATTACTCCAACTCAGCATGGCATTGACAAACACAGGGGGTACACGACAAACCTATTAGAATCACGGGATGTTGTTACAGATGTCATCAACCAGAGTTTTACAGCAGACATAATTTATACAGACATTTCAAAAGCGTTCGATAAGGTACCGTAGAAAAGGTTCTTATATAAACTGAAGGCATATGGCATTCACGGTCAACTACATAGCTGGATAAAAAATTGGTTGACAATTAAAGAACAACGTGTCAAAATAGATAATACAATATCACCATGGAGAAAAGCATTTAGTAGAGTACCTCAGGGTTCGGCTTTAGGACCGTTCCTTTTTGTGCTTTACATTTACTATTTACCGGACTTAATTTTGAGTTATATAAAAATGTATGCAGACAACAGCAAGATCATATGTATTATCAAGTTTGAAAAAGTTGCACTATATCTTCAAAAAGAATGGCTTATTTAACATTGAAAAATGCAAAGTTATGCACATGGGCAAAAAAAAAAAAAAAGAGCCAAACCCTATATATACAATTGAATCACAAAATGGTCATCGCAAACAGCTCAAAACCACAGCAAAAGAATGCGATTTTGGGGTTAAAGTGTCTAATAATTTTAATGTGAAGTTACAAGCTGAGCACGCAGCTACAGCTGGAAATAGAGTGCTAGGGAAATTTAAAAAAGGATTCAGAAGTTGTGGTTTAACTCTTTGGCGTTTCCTATATACTGCTTATATCTGACCATTATTAGAATTATTCGTCCCAGCGTGGTCTCCTCGTTTCATAAATAGATAGATATAAATAGAATCAAAAAAATTAAACATCGAACCACAAAACGGATTAACTCACCTAAAATACGAGGAACGTTGAACACGACTTAATTTGATTATTCTTGAAAAACGCCGCACGCATATGGACCTTATACGGCATTATAAAATAATTAATGGAATTGATGCCACCAACGTATCGAATATTTAAGTTTAATTTAAGAAAAAGAAATCATGCCGTCAAAAAATTTGAAACATTATGAAAGACGTAATTTTTTCACTAATCGAGTAGTTAAAAGTTGGAGTTCCTCATTAACTACCACAGTAAACGTACCATCACTCAACTGTTTTAAGTGTAGTTTTTAATATAATTATAGATTCTATAATTGCAAATGTTGTCAGAAAAGAGGGGTTCTTGTCTGCGTCTCTCCGTCAATAATTAGAACATGCATTTTAGATAAATTCTTACCACAAACTGAATTTACTGTGCATGATTTCAATAAGTTTGTAAATAATAATTCTTGATGACTGAATAAATAAATAAAAAAATTCACTTTTTGAAAAACTTTTAAAAATCTTTAATTTGTCATTAACAAAAGTCTAGCATATCGTTTTTTGTATATTTACTTGATCATGTTATCTCTGCCTTGGAAATAGAAAAACTTTATGCAAAAATATTTTTTCTTTAAATCGTTTCTTGAATTTAATAACAACACTTTTCATATCATCTCAGAACAAGTCAATTGATTGTTAGACATTTTAAAGCCGACGACACAGGTTTCGAAGTGGAGGGGCAATCGTCAATTTCTAAAAAAAGAAAAAGTCCTCAATATCTAGAATTTTCTAAAATAAAATAAATTATGTGGGAAGGGGGGAGGGCTATTTAATCATTGTTTTACTTAATCTTATTTTCCTGTTAGCAAATAATAATATTACTAGAGATAGTTAGCAGGAGCTAGGATGCATTATATATTTAACTAAATATGCGTGACATGTATACTATATTATCTGAAAACTAAAGAAAAACAGATAAAATTTTATCCAACTCTACTCAACTTTTATCAAAGCTCAAATATGAATCAGCTGTGAAATATGCATGTGTTTTATCTAGAATTAGGTTCATGAAATATGAAAATTGGTTCTTTTTATAATCAATAAACTTTTATGATTTGCTCCTAAGTTCCCACCAAATAGTATTATTATTTGTATTATATCTTTAACACAGCTTATATATCTAAAATGCATCATTTTTATAAGTATTATACGTGGTCGACGCCACGGAGGAGGAGAGGGTGAAGGGGACACTAATGATCGTGCCCGCGATAATAAAAAATTATCCAGCCGGATATTTTTTATTAATTTAAATATTGTCAAATATTTTTAGATATAGTCACGATAAATATTCTATAAATAAAAAGTTTTGTTTCGTTTTAAAATAAATTATCCCTCTGAATCTACAACAGCTTGTATGTAGAAATCAAATAAGCAGGGGATCTAATAATTCAGGTCAAAAATCGTTTTTACAACTCCATTGCACAATAAAGTCAAAAATATTTAAATTTTAATTGTTTAAAAAGGAAAGAAAAAATAAAATTTAAACTTTGAGATCTTCAACTCCATAAGATTGTTTAAAAGATAACATCTTAATTGTAAAAAAAAATAAATTTATATATGAATAATAAAATCTGTATTTCTTGTGCACAGTTAAATTCAAATTTATTTGAACTAAATAACTTAATTTTTTTTAATCTACTAACATTAGTTATTTTAATGGTTTAAGGTTCTCTCATTCTGTAAATTACCAAATGATTTGATCAAGTCTAAACTGTGTATCTTTAAGACTACAGTAATTATTAAAAAAAGTTTTTTTTTTAATTATTTATTAACACGAAATATTCTGCTTATCCAACCAGATTGAATTAACCGGCCGTATACTGAATACAGGATAATATATAAAGACCGAATATTTGGCCATATTCTATCCAGGACACTTCTAAATATGTGTTTATAGAACGTTGTGTGAAGTTGGGGGCAACAACTTCTGCTTTGGTTTGGGGAGAAATAAAAAGAGATAAAAAGAACATGTCAATATCTAACAAAACACATTATTACATTATTTAGAACAACTTTTGCTCAATGTGTATTAATATAATATAGTAAACTTGTTTAATTCTAAAACTCCTTCAAAATAACCTAATAATATACTAATAATAATAACGCATTTAAAAGTAGGGGTATTGCAAATCATAATTTGAAAAAAAAAATTTAAAATAGAGTTCTAAAAATTTTTGAAAATCTTTTTCAAAAAATTTTCAGAACTTTATTTTAAATTTTTGAAACGACGAGCAAAATTGAAAAAGAATTACCCCCGGCAGCAAAAATTGCTGCAATTTTGCTCGTCTTTTAATTTTAAAGTTTCCCTATAATTTATTCAAAAATCAGAGAGAATAAATAAATTTATAACAAAAGTTATTTTCATTTTACCCTACTACACATAGATTCATTTTTCATGGTTATAATTTTTTCTTTTTGGTATGCATTTAGGTATCATAGAGCACCGCGGGAGAGCATTTAACAGGAAGTTTACGCCTCCTCCTACCAATGTTGCTTGTTGGGCTAGAGCGGGCGTCGAACCTCGGACCTCTGGATTTTAAGCCAGAACTCTAACCACTGCGTCACGGCTGCTCATCACATTTTGCAATTGCAAATCGCTAAAAGTTATCAATAGCTTCGGGAATTGAAATCGAATCTATTAAAAGCTAATTGTAACTGTCAGGTTCTCCACAATACGGTCAAATATATCTTGAAAATGATGTCATTTGATGTGGAAAACATTGGTTTTTAAAGTATACAGCATATTTTCATCAAGCACAAAGAGTCTTTAAAGCATGTTTCCACTAGATGAGTTAGTCTTTACATGGCTGTTGATAGACTTTTAAAAAACTGGTGAACTATTAAAGTAGATTTTATAAATCAAGGAATGGAAGAATGCAATCGAAAAATTTGGAAATTTGTGCGAGAGAAAGAAGATAGAATAAAAGGAAAAAGAAATAACATTGCCAGAAATTATACTGTATTTTGTACATTCATTTCTATAATTTTCCAAAAGTACATATTAACTTTAGAGAGTAAAAACACGAACATAACAGAATTAGATGACGTATTCAAAAAAATGAGAAGCGATTTTATAAAAAGAAAACAAGATCTTTTTTTATAGAATTATAGTACAAAAAATTATAAAAATAAAGCACACACTGTATATACGAGAGCGTCAAAGTACTTAAATGAGTGATATGATTTTGATGAAAATTGATGAAAAAGCAATGTCATGATTGATGAAAAAGCAATGGACAATTGAGGGCGCTAATACTTAAAAAAAGAAGAATATCTCGTAGTTATGATGTTAGTTGAATATTTATTAAGCATTGCTGCCACTAAATCCTTTGTTGAAATAATTTTTTCAGTAATGGGTTCCTTGTGGTGACTAAATAACTTTACGAAAATTATATTATCTAAATTTTATTGAAACTATAAATTGTACAGGGCTTCATGATAAGATCTATATGATCTTCTTGAAGTCTTGCCATTAATCTTTTATTTATATTGTATGTATGTAAAGAATAGCTATTGAAAAAAAAGGCGAAATAATATTTGTAACAGTTTAAAATTAAATGCGAATTATTTCACGAAGTAGCAGCAGGAAACAAAAAGATTTTAAAAGCACCTTGAAGCAATAAAAATATACAGCTTTAAGGGTAAATACTAAAATTTATTCTTATTTGTAAAACGTGACAAAAATTTGTAACATAAATATTAAAATTACCAAATAAGATTTTTCAGAAGGAACACAAGAAACAAAGATATTTTTTTAATAAATATTTGTTTTAAAAGTGCGATAATATAATACCTATTATATTATTCAAAAGATTTATTAACGGCAAATAACTTACTCTTTCTGTTTGCTTTATACCCCTACCTCTTTCACCAATTAACTGATTATTCGTGAGGCATCGAGGTGTCCGGGTAAGTCGGTTTGCAAAGGTGGCAACACTGATTAATATTAATTGTATGAGATCTATAAAGCCATATCTGTTTACATAAGGTAGTTCACAATCATTTCCTAGAGCAGAAGAATCACCTTCAGAGTTTACATTTTACTTACTTAGTGATAAAATATGATTGCAGGATAAATTATGAAGAATATTTTGCTGCAATTAATATATTTTCAATATAGGTATGTGACAATATTAGTGAGGTATAACTTTTTAATTTGAATGGTGAAAAATATTCAAAGTGTAATCTAACAGTATAACTTAAAAGTTTAACATAATCAGTTTTCCCTACATTTTTTGTATCGTTTTTATAACCAGGCCGGTTGCAACCGGGTGGGCGAAAGGAGCATTGCCACCCCCCCCCCCCCCAATAATTTTTCAAATAAATAATTTTGAAGAAATTGACTGAAAAAACGATTAAAAAAATAAGGTCCTTAAAACTATTTTGAAGTAGTACTGCTCCCCTCCCCCCCCCCCCCCCCTAATATAATTTTTGTTTTAGTATAATTCAATTGACATTCCAACAGCACTAAAGAGAAGCAAATACCTTCTGATTTCCATCTTCAGATTATTACATTTTAATACCACTCGAAACCAGCCTTTAAGCGTAAAGTCCGAAAAAATAATCGTGGTTGAACACAAAACACGTGGCTGAACATAAAACTCAAAACAAAGTCTCTCGGAAGGCGAGCTAAAATTTTCTAAAGTAAAACCAAGATCGGATTTTTCCTTTTCCATGCTTCTCCAAGATGGCTGCCCTTAACATGTAGAAAAAGACTAATTTTTCAACTAATTTCCATTGTAATATAATTCTGAATAAAATGGCTGATGTAGAAAATATCACAATGTCTCAGCCTCATCTCGCTAAACAAGATTTAGTAACCTTGGTAAGAAAAAATTTATTGTTTAATTTCAGTTATGAAAAAACGATTTTGCAAGCTAATGCATTAATTAAATTACATTTTATTATGAACCTACATTTTGTTTGCACGTCAAACAAATTCAAATTTGGTTTAAACGTAAATTTTATTAGTTTTATTAAATATGACTTTAATGCTACTTTTATCAAAGGCGTAAATCTAAAGTTTATTTAACGTTAAATAAGCTAGTAAACTAATAGTGTTTATATATTCATATTTCTATATAACTTATAGGAAAATGTTTAACTTAACTGTATTTTCATAATTTTTTTTTATAAACTGCCAAATAAAATGTAAGGAGTTTATCAAGTATATGCAAAAAAAAGTATACTTGATGTAAATGCAATAACATCAAGTATACTTTTTTTTATATATTTTTCTTTTGCTGCTAATATTTTAATTTCTTAAATTTTAGTCTAATAAAATATAATTATTTAATTTAGTTCAATATGTTACAAACTTCTTTAATTAATTATTCAATAGTATGCAGAATTGGTTAAGTAGCATAGTATTATACCATTTGGAAAGACTTTATTAAAGTATTGTTAAGTTAAGGCTAATAAAATTAAACATTATAAAAAGTGACAAGGCTTTTGGTAACAGATTTGTTAATGTTGAAAATTTTTTCTTTACTTAAATTCTTAAAACTTAATCAGTTCTCAATTAAATGCTATTTATAACTTTGTATAAAAAGACAAGCGTAAAATCAGGCTTAAAATTTATATTGACTTTTTTAATACATTATTTGGTGTATCAATGGCTAAAAGGGGCACTTCTAAAAATAAATATTTTTTTTATAAAAGAGTTTTGTTTTTGTTTTTATAAAATTAATGATTTTTATTTGCAAAAATTTATAATATAATTTTGATCTATACCCCAACAAATATGAGAGGTTTATCTTGGAGTTGAAGGTAAATGTGGGAAGTTTAACAGCATTAAAATAATAAAAAAAGTTTGTTATTAAAATTTGCATTTTTTTTAAAGGGAGTAAAGTTAGTATAAAATTATATTTAAGTATTGCATAATTAAACCTTGAATAATAATCAACTCCCATCTACAAATCAGCAACTGACATACAGGGCTCAATTTAATGGTCAGACATCAGACAATGTCCGGCTAAAACCTCAGATTGTCTAATCAATTTACAAAGTAATCAGACATTTTGACTGACAGAAATTAAATTCTACAAAAAAAGCTTGGATAGGAATGGCTAAAATACTATTGCTGACCATACAAATGATTTTTTTTGTTTCTAACTTGACCACAACTGTTTGACCACAAACATTTTAGAAATGCACTGAAAAAAGAAATGTTAAGCTAAACTTAAACTAGCACAAAAAATTGAAAAAACTAACGAATAAGCAAAACAATTCATAAAGAAAAAGAAAATAAATTAGCTTTAAATTAAAACTCAAAAAACTGGAAGTTAAAATTTTTTTTTGTTACGTTATTAATTGCATTTGAAAAAAACTACTTTAAAACATCTTTTAAAACATTTCATTAAAATTACGCAAAACATTTTTACAAATTAGGGGCTGTCCATAAAGGGTGTCACCATTTTTTAGGCAATTTTAAAAAGCTAATAATACAAGCTAACCGTAGTAGTTAAAAATGAATTTGAATTCCTTAAGAGTCTAAATAAGTTCCATAATGACTATGAGGGATAATCAATCCCGCTAAATTAACTCTGAAGACAACCACGGACTTAACCGACTTGTAATGTAAACGAACTCTGGTGGAGTGTAAAGTTTTTCAAAGTTCAATCTGTAAGCATATGCTGTCGACGATAAATTTTTTTCAGATCAAACAGCAATATAAGTGGAACAAAATAGGAAACTGTCAGATTTTCCAAGCCCATCTGGTTTGATTGCAATGCGTTCGTAGAGAGACAAGATGAGCTTGTGCTTTGCGGCAATGATCCAATCATGATCAGGAAGAGAAACTTGATATTCTATATGCATTAGTATAGGAACTTGTTTGTTAGCAGTGGTGATTCGTATTGGGATCAGAGCTTTATTGTCTTGACTTATAAAGCACATATCCTTGGGGCCTAACAAAGGGCAACTTTTTTCCACATTTCTTAAAGTTGCTGTACAAAATGAATTATCCATATGACTTGAATAAAGATCGTTTTAGGCTTGCATTAATTTGATTGGAATTTATAAATTAAATGTTATATTAAATTTTTGTGTATGCACATAATGTGTTAATTTTAAACAATCATTATAGTTAGTTTTTGATTTTATTTAAAGCCTTCACGTATAATAAAAGTTTTAAAATAGATCAATAATTTTGTCCGGGGCTTTATAAAAAATTAAGTTAAGCCCTGGACCTAGCTCATGTTATAAATGTTTTTTAGTAAATAATGTTTTGAGTTTATTGGGAGTTTAAAAAATTTGTTTGTTTTTAAAACTGAAATTCAAAGTAATTAAATTTAATTCTTTGTGTTCCTCTGCATAGCAGAAGTACATTACTAGCACTAAATATTATTAAAGTTTTTAAAAACAAGTTTTAGTTGAAGCAAATTTGTTTTGGGTGTAAATTTTTAAATGAGCTAAATATTAGTTTAAAAACAAAGCTAGAGATATCAATAATTAAAACTACAAAATTTATTTAGGTGTTTTTCATATAAATTAAATACTGGTTAGATATTTAGATGTCTAAATTAGATCAGAAATACCTTAAGAACTGATTTTTTAAAACATGGTTCAAATCAATATTTTTTATTATTCTTCTTGAAGCAATAGTTAAACTTATTACCGTGATTTGAACTGATAATCAGGGCCAGATTTAGCCTTTTGGGGGCCCTAGGCCAAAACATTTTTGAGGCCCCTAAAATAATTTAATTTTAGGGAAAAAATTTCATTTTTTTATTTAAAATTTTATTATTTAAACAAAACAGTGTAAATATTATATACAAAATTTAATCATGGAGTTGACAGAATTTCGTTGTATATTCAAAATTCTTTCAATAGATGTCACTAGGTATAAGAAAAAAATATAAACCGGTGTTTTTGATTTTTCTACACATTATTTTTAGTTTCAACTTTTTATGTTTATTAAATTTTGGGGCCCCCAAATGTTGGGGGCTCTAGGCCGTGGCCTAGTCGGCCTATAGGTAAATCCGGCCCTGCTCATAATACATCCTAATACTTAAGAAAGCGCAACCAAATTTTTTTTATATTTACATCTTATCTAAGCGTTGTTTAATTACATATTTAAACTAATTTATTTTGATTTTATGTTATAAAGTTTTTGCTTAAATATATATATATATATATATATATATATATATATATATATATATATATATATATATATATATATATATATATATATATATATTGTGTTTTCATATTATATAGGATCCATCGAGACTGAACCCACTTTCGCCTGAAATTATAAGTCGTCAAGCAACTATAAATATTGGTATGACTTATTAATTTTAAATATGTGCAGTTTAAATTTTATTGTCAAAGTTTTTTAAAAGTTTTTAAGGTTAGATTCTATTGAAATAATGAAAATTTAAAAAACATATATTAACAACTTTTTAGAATCAAAATTTCATGCTTTTTCTAATTTTTAAAAAACAATTAGGAATTACAAATTAGGAAAAAGCTGTAAATCTATTTTGTTCATATACTGTATTCCATACCAGACATTCCAGCAGTATCAAAGCACATATTAGATTGCTGATCATTTTAATGATTTTTTTTTTTTTTATAAGAACTTTTACTTCAATTTTCTCTTTATTTTGCACAGCTTTTAAAAATTACAACTAAATTTTGAACATTGGTCATGGTTTTTCTTTTTCTTTTCATATAGTTAAAAACTACATTGTACATTTAGATAAAATTTATATTATGCATATAAATAAAATTTATATTATAAAAATTTTAAGTAGAGTTAAGTAGAGGATAATGATGCTTGACCTGAATCATTAGATCCCATTATCTTTTTTTTTAAGTTAGCCTATTGTTTTTTTATAAAACTTTCCATATTTGTATATTAATTGCAATTATATGTATATATATATATATATATATATATATATATATATATATATATATATATATATATATATATATATATATATATATATATATATATATATATATATATATATATATATAGCATAAATGTATAATATATTTGGTCTAATAATTTTCAGTTATCTTATCCATTATATAGCCAAACTTAAACATTCTGAATATTTCTTATTTAGGTACCATTGGACATGTAGCTCACGGAAAATCAACAGTTGTCAAAGCTATTTCTGGTGTTCAGGTAAATTTGAGTTTTATCATTATAACAAAGAAGGTAATTATACATTTTTATACAGATATCAAATGATACTTTAAAATGTTTGAATTATACTAACTTGATTGAAATATTTTTTACCAGCAATATAATTTTTGTCATCGATAATAATTATTCTATTATATCTATGCCGTCATTCATTCCAATACTAAAAAACTTTGAATACTATAAAATTGAATTTTACAGATTTTTCTATTCACTTTCTCTTATGTGTGTATTTTTTGCATGTTTTGGTACAAGTTGTTTAAAAATGATTTAAGTAAACAATTTTTTTTTAATTTAATATATATATATATATATATATATATATATATATATATATATATATATATATATATATATATATATATATATATATATATATCCTTATAGTGTAGTCGAAAGAGCGTTTTAATGTAAAAAAAGTCTCTTTCGACTACAATTTTAATTACCTCTTCTCTTAAGCTGTATTTAATTGTCGTCGAAATGTCAAAGCAATTAAATTAATGCGGAAGTACATTAAATTTTATTGTTTTTTAAAAATTTTTTAAAAAACCGCAATAATAACGACTAGAAAGTTTTTTTTAATTAGTAGTGTTTTTGTTTTTGTTTTATTAAAAAACATTTTTAAAACATGCGTAAATGTTGCTACATTGACTATCTTATAGCCTGACTAGCAAGGGAGTGCTGCTACATCGACTGACAAATAGCCTGACTCGCAAGGGAGTGCTTCTACATCGACTGACAAATAGCCTGACTCGCAACAGAGTGCTGCTACATCGACTGACAAATAGCCTGACTCACAAGGTAGTGCTGCTACAACGACTGACAAATAGCCTGACTCGCAAAGGAGTGCTGCTACATCGACTGAGGGTTTGGTTTAGGCAGGCAGTCTATTATTAAAAAATATATATATAAGTTTTTAAACTTTTTCTGGTCTGGTTTATTAACGCGCTCTTTAAAACTACAGTTTATGGGAAACTCTTTTTAACTACCATGCAAGAGTAAATATATATATATATATATATATATATATATATATATATATATATATATATATATATATATATATATATATATATATCTGTGCGTGTGTGTGTAAGTGTGTGTGTGTGTAAATTAGTAGAAAATCACTTAGCAAAATTTTTTTTGATTTAAAGGGACTACCAAGTCCCGAGACATGTTGTGTTCATATTAAAGAGAATGTTAAAAAAAAGGTCTGCGCCAATTTTTTTTGATTAAAACTTATTAATAAATGTATACCAAGAAAAAAAAATCTTGTTGTTTTAGTTAAAGCTTGTCTTCTTCGTTTTCTGTGGTATTTGGAGTCTGTAAAATAAACGCAATTTTCCAGGCGCATTATACAGACTTAATAATTTATTCAAGTGCGTTTAGTTCATAGAAGTTTTAGTACATGATGTCATAGATTTTTTTGTTTGTTTTTTTAAAACACCGATTATTATTTTTTACATGCAATTTCCAAATCATTCGTTATTATTATATTCTAAAGTTCTAAAATATGTTTGTAAAAAAATTAAAAACAAAATAGTATTTTATTTGCACAAATTTTTTTAAATAATTATTTAGACCGCATGCATTTTGATTTCTTTTGTTATAAGTTTTTCTTTCTAAATATTAGATAAAATAATTTTTAACCTAAATGATAATGTACTTTTATTAATTTACTTTGTAAATATTAAAAAAAATTTATTTTCTCTGATTTTCAAAAATGTATTTTTTGGTATTGAGGTGATCTAATTTTATTATTTATATTTCCATTATTATAACATCCAATATATATTATGGCGGGGGTTTAAAAGTTAAAAAATTAATATATATTAATTTTTATTTTACGGACATACATGAAAACATAATTAATTTGAATGTTCTTAAAACATCTTGCGCAAGAATAAATAGAATATTTGCGAACACTAAAAACCTGCCAAATTTATGAACATACTAATTCTATTGGTTCAAAAAATATGCTGACTAAGCAAAATAAAGTTCTAGAGTATTCTGTTAAAATGTTTTAGCAATTGTATTATTCACGATTCGTTGGGTTATGAGATATTTAGCATAAATTGTTTTAAGAATATATTATCAAATGAACTATTAGTTTAATATTATGGCTCATTCTCGGAGCCACATCTGCAAAGCCGTAAATCTTTTAAACTATTATCATTTGTTTGCAAAAATAAATGTTTTATAATATATATTTTTTAAATTGTCAAAATTTTGAAAGTTAATTACAAATTATATATTTAATTAGTATATTCTTATTTTTTAAATCTTTTCCTAGAGCTTGGTTTAATTAATTTGTCGTTGTATTTGTTGAAACAACTTGCATCAAAATGTAAAGAACACACTCGTGAATCATCGTAGATATTATATAACTTGATTTGGCGCCTCAAGGGTCCCTATGTCCACCATCGCCGTGGCCCATGTAGCCACGGCTCTGATAGCTACAAAAAAAAAGTTTTTTTCAATGTGAAGATTTAAAAAAATAAAATAACTAATTATAGTTTGCTATTTTAGTAAAATTTAACAGTAAATTTTTAAAGAATTTCTAGAATGTTTCCAATGACGTCATGTACTAAAACTCCTATAAATTAAACGCACTTGAATAAATTATCTGTATAATGCGCCTAGAAAATTGTGTTTTTTTTAAAGACTCCAAATACCGCAGAAAATGGAGAAGACAAGCTTCAACTAAAACAACAAGATTTGTTTTTCTTGATATACATTTATTAATTAGTTTTTATCAAAAAAAATTTGCTCAGGCGTTTTTTTTTTAACATTCTCTTTAATATGAACACATTATGTCTCATATTTTGAGCCCTGTATGTATGTATGTATGTATGTATGTATGTATGTATGTATGTATGTATGTATGTATGTATGTATGTATGTATTTATATATATATATATATATATATATAAATATATATATATATATATATATACATACATACATACATACATTCATAAAAATACATACATATATATATATATATATATATATATATATATATATATATATATATATATATATATATATATATATATATATATATATATATATATATATATGTATATATGTATATACATACACATACATACAGGGCTCAAAATAGCGAATGTTTTTGTACCAGACAAATAGTCCGATAAAGAGTTAAGTTGACATGTCCAATAAAAATCAAACAAGTGCGATCGAACGCCATCCCTGACCACGCATAAAATATTTTGTTTTTACAACTCGACTATGCAATTTGTAAGATAAATTATCTAACGAAAAGAAAATCTTAAAGAGAAAGAAAAAATCTAAGCCCAAAAAGCTAAAATTTGAAAAGGAAAATATATTTATATTATGTTTTTTTTTAAATTACTATACTGTGTGAAACGCTTTGTAAATTATTAAATACATAAGTTAATATCCAAATAAGTTAAATACATAAACTATAAAATTACTAAATACATAATTAAATATATAATAAAAATGTATAAAAAAATACAAAATTATTAAATACATAAATTACTATGTAAATATATCAAATACATAAATTATTAAGTTTATTTATTACTTTTTTAAATAAAGTAACAAATTAAATATAATTTTACAATAAACTCATTTTATTTAAATAATCAAAGAATTATTATTTAATAATTTTAAAAGGGGTTTTAAAAGATAAAATATTTGTTTGAAATTTTTAAAAACCACCAGACAAAAAATAAAATAAATACTAAACTATAAATTTAAATTAATAACTAATTGCAACATTTTAATATAAATGATAAAAACCGGGCTACTTAACTCAAAAAAGTGAAATTCTTTGGCATCAAAATGAATAAACTCAAAAAAATGATGTATTTTATTAACGTAGCAGTGTGTTCAACTTTAATTTTGTTTTGTATAAAAAATTATAAGTTGAAAATTATATACTATACTGAATTGATTAATAATTTTGGAACAATATAGAAATTAAATGCACACAAATTACGGGTGATCACTAAAATGATTAGAAACTTAATGCACATAAATTACAGGTGATGTGAAACAAATCTAAAAAAAAAGTTATAGTTTACAAGTCTCCTGTGTCAAATAAAGACAATAAAAATTTTTTTAAACGCCGACACTAAGATACAATTTTTTTATTCAGTAGATTTTTACCATTATGCGATGAAATAAAATATTTTTCGTGACATATTTTTGTTTGTGACAGTATAAACCTGACTGTCAGGTCAGGTTTATACTGTCAGGTCAGGTTTATCCTGCTGCTGGTAACATGTAACCCAGTACAATCTGCTTCATGTCCTGCTGCCTTGTAGGATATGCCTTTTTAAGCAAAGGCTAGGAGATGCAAAATCCGACATAAAACACCCCCTGCCTTGGGGCTCTTGGTTGAGTAAAGGCTAGAGATGGTGTCTCGATAAAAATACTCATCTTGGGCAGATGTTACATGCATCCTGCTGTCTTGTAGAAGGCTTCCTAGGCAAAGACTTAAGGGGTAAATAAATTCTATCTGTTAACCAGCCTCGCACCCCTTCTTCATCTATTAGGCTGGCGCAGATGTATTTTTAATACATTGTTTCCAGTTAAGGATGTTGAACGCTGGATCTTCTTGACTCGATGCATGGGTTTTGCTTGTGTCTCTATTTTTATGACTAGGCAACTCATTCTATTATCTCCAAATGAGGGTACGGCTGGTAGTCAGGTTTCCCGAACTCTGTGGTAGCTCTCAGAGAGGCTGATTCCATCAACAGCTGAAAAATATCAGAGTACTAACAGTGCCATGTTGCGCATGGATGGTGTCCCTGTTTGTACTTTTGGTGTGCATTGCCAAGGCCACATTGGAGCCCTTTGTTACAGCTTAGGGTTTATTAGTGGAAATGAGGGAATTGCTTGAGCTATAAAACAGTGTACTGAGTACTATCTATGTTTTGAGTCAAGTTCTTTGACAAATTTAAAAATGAATAGAGTAACAAAAACT